TTGTGAAATTGTATAATCTTGATTATTGTGATGAGAAATTACAGATATATACACAGTGTACATTATCGCATACAAGCCTTCCGTATTTTTGTCATTCCGTAATTTTGATCTACAAATGATACCAAATCGCACAGTTGTGCGGAGAGAAGCGCACAACGGGGCGAACGATTGCTAAATCGCACAGTTGTGCGCACCATGTGTGAACGATGTGCGGACGGTGTGTGAACGATGTATGCACGGTGTGCGCACGCTATTTTTGGTGCGTTGTGCGGTACCACAACTGTATTATTCAATAATCTTTTATTGATAATGATTTGGAATTTATGATATAGATATTGTAGAGGACAGAACCAAACCTCATTTACTCCTTTTCATTTGAAGTTTAATATATAAATAACATGTTCAAACTAAAACTTTTTTTATGAACAGAGCAATGGAGTGGAGTATTCAGAACTTTGGTCCACCAGTTCCTAGCAACCTAGTTCCTATCACCACTCGTCAGTTACGTCAGACGATGACTTACCTTCCCTCCAGCAGAGACTTCCAAAGCTGTGGCGTTCCTCACATCCACGACCTTGATCAGTTTACATACAAGTCCATGCACCTTACTCCTGTCAAAGTTCTTCTCAGGATCTCTGTACTCAAACTGCAGTTGTGGAAATCTGGAACCAAAACCATACTGTATAGCAGCTATGTCAGTGAGAGTTCAATTTACACATTTTTAGTTTGCACAAAATCCACTAATTCAAACTTCCTCAATATATTTGCCTATGATAAAATCATAATAAAACTGAGGGTAGTACATAACTACAACACTGACAGGTCAATAAGGGCCCCATCTAGTGGCAATATATCCCCCATAATCATCAAGAAGCAATCTGCCCATATAGCTGAGCTTGACGTTTGACATTTGGACTTCAAAAAGAATCGCAAGGAAGCAAAATATACATTTTACATGTACTATGATGTGAGTCTTGTTTCCTTCCACCTCCATATTTGCTGGGCTAACAGAAATGTAAATACCGGTGCAATACTCATTTGTTAGCTTTGATTTGTTTTATTTCACCTTATATACCTCCTCCATCAAGAACCAGGGTCAAAGTCAAAGATCCACTTTGTCTTTGACCATTGGACCCAAATGACCTTGACCATTAACCCAGTGACCCTGATCTTTGGTCAGTTGACCTATTCTTTAATTCCGACCTTTGCTTCTTAATATCATAACAAAATGTTCATCAGTGAAAAATACAAAACTTGACCTTGACCCTTTGGACCCCGTAACCTGGACCTATGGTCAGTTGACTCCTTGTTTAATTCTGAGCAACATTGCTTCAAAGTGTCATAGCGAAATGTTCACCAGTGAAAAGATACAAAATTTAACCTTGACCTTTGACCAAATGACCCTGACCTTTGGTCAATTGACTCCTTGTTTAATTATGATCAACTTTGCTTCATCATGTCGTAACAAAATGTTCATCAGTGAAAAGATGCAAAATTTGACCTTGACCTTTGACCTCAACTTTTTACCTCAGTATGTCTCTTTGTTTAATTCCAAACAACTTTGCTTCATAATGTCACAGCGAAATGTTCACCAGTGAAAAGCTACAAAATTTGACCTTGACCCCTGATCCGATGACCTTGACCTTTGGTCAGTTGACTCCTTGTTTAATTCTGATCAACTTTGCTTCATAACGTCATAACAAAATGTTTATCAGTGAAAAGATGTAAAATGTGACCTTGATCTTTGAACCTAATGACCTTGAATTTTTTTCCTCAATGTGTATTTTTGTGAACTGAACATCTTGACCAAGTTTCATGTACATCGGTCAATAAATACCAAAGTTATCAGCCAGGAACAAAATTTGTGGACGGACAGACAGACAGTGATTACTATATAGGGCACCCGTATCTCCGATACGGGGCCCTAATAAGATTGCTGTTAATATGGTTGAGGTGCAGCATTCCTTAAGTGAGCATGACTGGGCCTACCTACCAAGAATGTGAAAGTTAAATTGAACTATCAATGCATTGCGATACTGGTTTCCTGAACAGCTGCCTACTGATAGTATTCAAACAATACATAACCACTGCTATAGTATACTTCAATTTTGACTACTTCCGTCGTTATTTATCAAATTATAACTACCCTTCCACATAAGATATGTTGTTGCTTGATCGAGCATATTTACAACAAACTGAAAAGAGAAGTAAAATGTACAAGTTGTGAAATGACAACTACTGCAATGTACCCCAGATATCACGATACTACCATGACAGGTCTACTAAACACTGCCATACTTAACTATTACCTAGCCTCCAGGGTCTCCAGTTTCTCCTGTAACTGCTGAACTTCCTGACCGAGGCTTCTCCTCTCTGCAGACAACTTGTCATCTTTACCTTCTTCAAATCCTAACTTCTTCATCTCTGCCTACAAAATGAACAGTAAACAATTTCACAAGAAATTAACATAACGATTATGAAAGAAAAACCAAATTGTTTGCAAAAGTTATCTTGATATTTTAATAATATTATATATTTATTCATTACGTCTTATTGAACAGTTGCAGAAAGTTCAATGCGATTCAGACGTCGGATAGATTTCCTTTTTTTATACTGGTATCGTTATTTCTAAGTAATATTCAAGGATAAGCATATTGAGAACTTTTGGTCTTACAATATTAAAAGCTCAGATTTTAATAAAGTCTTTGACAACAATTACTAACAAATTTGTCTGTAATGATACCAACCTCAAGGGCAGTCATGTTTTTGGCAATAGCTTCATAAGCGGTTTGGTCCTTTTTGTACCCCTGTTCAGTTTTCTTCAGGTCTGCCTGCTTCTTCTTGATCTCTTGTTGGGCATGTTTTAGCCTGTTGGGTATAACAAATCAATGCTGTATATCAACTGTTCTCATTTCATAAATTGAAATCCTTTCTTTAATATCTATCTACCATAGTATTCCAAAGACTGAAAAACGAAGCACACTTAAACACAAAGAGATTGGAAATATCTCAGAATGGTAGTTTTTATTTATATCACTATTTCTTTTAAAGTGTATGTGACCTTGATAATACTATTGTACTGTACATTGGTGGGACTAATTCAGTAATTCGGTCTGGTCAAGGAAAAAATAAATAGGTCTGCACTTTCATTAATAAGGTTCTCCTCATATATTTGTGTCCAAAATAGCCGAAACTAAATTGCAGTATAAGATTAAATAGCATTTTAAACTCAGATTATGTTGTATTACAGAATTGTGGATCATAACATAATTTCTTCTTCTGATTTATTCACATAATGATGTATTTTAATGTGAATAGAATGAATATTTAATACCTCAAGATACAGTTTTCCTCAACTTCCTACAAACTTATGTATTTTTGTCACTGCCTTTACCTCATTTGAGCTTGCTTTGTCTCTGTCTCTGCTGTACTGATCTCATTCTTGGCAGCTATAAAAAACAAACTTTACCATGAATAATTGTTATACTTGTAACAAAATTCTCAAAGTTTGTTACCATTGAATCCAAAATCTAAATAATGTTTTGCTTATGTAATCTATAGAACTCTTTGCCTTTTATGTAATCTATAGAACTCTTTGCCTATTATGTAATCTATAGAACTCTTTGCCTATTATGTAATCTATAGAATTCTTTGCCTATTATGTAATCTATAGAATTCTTTGCATATTATGTAATCTATAGAACTCTTTGCCTTTTATGTAATCTATAGAACTCTGCCTTTTATGTAATCTATAGAACCCTTTGCCTATTATGTAATCTATAGAATTCTTTGCATATTATGTAATCTATAGAACTCTTTGCCTTTTATGTAATCTATAGAACTCTGCCTTTTATGTAATCTATAGAACCCTTTGCCTATTATGTAATCTATAGAATTCTTTGCATATTATGTAATCTATAGAACTCTTTGCCTTTTATGTAATCTATAGAACTCTGCCTTTTATGTAATCTATAGAACCCTTTGCCTATTATGTAATCTATAGAATTCTTTGCATATTATGTAATCTATAGAACTCTTTGCCTTTTATGTAATCTATAGAACTCTGCCTTTTATGTAATCTATAGAACCCTTTGCCTTTTATGTTATCTATAGAACCCTTTGCCTATTATGTAATCTATAGAACTCTGCCTTTTATGTTATCTATAGAACTCTTTGCCTTTTATGTAATCTATAGAACCCTTTGCCTATTATGTAATCTATAGAACTCTTTGCCTATTATGTAATCTATAGAACTCTTTGCCCATTATGTAATCTATAGAACTATTTGCCTATAATGTAAATTCAGGTCAAGCTGCAGGTCAATAAAATCACCCATGGTGAAAACGATAAAAAAATATGACCAAACCAAGTGTTCATCTTGGAACTGACTTTACATGAAATTGAGGTAAAACAGTTGCATGGGGTTTCAAAATAACTAAAAATGTGTCCCGTTAAATAGTTTCTAGGGCCTCAGCTAATCCTTCTGTTGTAAATTTGAGCTACAGAGAACTCAGCTGCAGTATCAACTATTTCAAGGTCCAACAAACATTGCCCTCAAGACTGGGAATTGAACCAAGGCCTATCAGAGCACTGGAATTCAAACATTCTTGTACTCAGTCTAAATGGAATTGGATTTTTTAAAACTGGAAATGCTATCTTAAAGTGTATCTAAGTATAGGGGTAAAACAATCTCTTTTTTGCCTTTAAACTATTCTTGACCACTTACTCATGAGCTGGTCGTTAAGACTGGCATCCTCTCCATCTATATTTTTAGATAGACCAGAGGTTGCAGCCTGGTAGTGTTTCTGGGCTGCCACATGAGCCTCCTGGTCACTCTTACTCTGCTCCTGTAGCTTCTCCAGCGTACCATCCACCTTACCACACTCTTTCTCCTTGGCTTGCAGTGCTTTTTTGTCCTGTATCAATGCATTGCAATTAATAGTGAAAATATTTCTAGTCCACCAAAAATTTAACACCATGAAATATAACAATGATTTCTTTATTAGTAGTAACAGCTCAAACACAAATTGTGTAATGCTTTTTTCTTCTTGATTAACATGTGCTTTCTAGACAGGTTACGTAAGGCCCAATTTTTTTTATTACTTGGTCCTCAGGCCTGCGCTCATTTCATTTTAGGGCACCGCATTGCCGATTTTATCGTGAAAGTAATAAAAAAATTTTTGTGAATGCGCCAGCCACCATCTTTAAAAAAATCCGTAAAATTGGTCCGCATGTTGATTTTACTCGTTAGTCACCCAAGTCCCGAAACGTTTGAATAAAGATAAGGATTGATATACAGGCAAGCGTTAAAGTGATTATGACTTATTAGTCTTGTGTACAAATGGCGCTCATTTCGGTACAAATAAGGAATGGGGGGGTGGGGGGTTTAGTGATTCTCGTCTGGAACATCGTTGGGGTATTTTCGGAGGCTTGGTCTATGACGCGTATCTACACAACTATAAAAAGACAAGGAAATGCCCACAATGAACGTTTTACAAACTTCACAATAAAAAAAAATCGCCCTCGTCTCTTTTTGCCATTTAAAATGAAAAAAAATATCCCGCCCTGCCGCATCTCTTTTGAAAAAAAATGGCCTGAGAACCAAGTAATTAATTTTATTTGGCCTAATAGTTTTCAGAATTTTGAAAGGCACTTTAATGTGGGGATGATGTAATACCTGAAACTTAAATTTACCATAAATTGTTTTTACATTTAAAAGACTGATCAATTTCTTTGAAGAAATGGGACCCATACTTGTCAAAGGATATACAGTTAATTACATGAACCTACCTCCTCGGAGTGTTTGGTGAGCTCTTTTCGCTTTTTCTGCTCTGCTTTCAGGCCTTCCTTCTTGTTGTCTATGGCACTCTGTGCCCGAGCCTCTGCTTTCTTCTGTTCATTTAGGTTTTCTTCTAACTTTTGCATCACACTACCCGACTCTTGGTCCCTCTTACGCTGTAGAGCATCAATCACTCCATCCAATTCTTTAACTTTACCATCAATCTGAAGAGGACAAGGTTGACAGATATTTAAAGGTGTGTGTGTCTTTAAAAAATCATTATCACAATATAAGAAAATTCAAATAGTGAGTGATGGGTATCATAAATCCGTCACATTTTCGTATCTGGGATAGTCCTAAACAGTGATACAACATCCTCGATAATTATCAAAATATGTTTAGACAGTGCACTATCAAAGTTCATAAAATCATCTGGTATAATATCAAGTATTTTTCATGATTACAATTTGAAATTTAAAAGTACAGATTGAAATTTAAAAGGGCTTCAATATGGAGGCATTCAATAATTTACAATTGAACTGAATTAATTTACTGAACTTCACTTTCAAAGCATACTAAATCTTCTTATTTATCAATTTTCCTAATTTAAAATTTTTCATTAGTTGACTGACAAAGGTAAAAAAAAAATGATGAGTCTTTTTCTTAGAATAATGAATATGAAGCAATTTCCAAGGCGCCTCCTGATAATTTTCAGCACTTTTCAAGGTCTTAATACATGACCAATAAGCAAATTCTATGAACAGCCACCTAAGCCAATAACAATAGATTTTGATGGTTTACTGAATATAATTCATATGAATAACAAATTGTTGAAGAGTGCATATGAACACATCTTGTGATGTAAATCACAAGGGAGGTAACTAATATTGCTCTACAATCACCTCCACCATCCTGTCCTTCAGAGACTTGATCCCTTCCTGCATCTCTAACAATTCTTCAGCTGATTTCTTTCTCCTTTCCTGAAAAATAAAACATTGATAGTAATTGGGCTTAATTCTGAAGGTGGAAATAACGTTTTCATGAAAACAAAATATGGAAAAATACAAATACTGTGAGCTTGAATTTTGAGGTTTTCTTTTGGCTATTTTTTGTTTACCTTAAACATGAATGTGAAATAAAGACCCCAGCTGATACAGTATTTGAGGACTTTTGACTATTATCAGTGTTACACAAAACCTTTACTATGTGAATTTGTTCCAGAAAACAGCAGCCTGACCCTAATATTAGAAGTAAAACACTGACTAACACCACTGTCAAACCGACAATGGGGTTTAACAACTCAAACAAGACAAAATAATATAGCTGGTCCTTATAAAAAAAAAGGTCAGTTCCATTAACTTCTTTACAATAGCATACATGTAATATGTGCATTAGTTTAATTCATGAAATAATTTGATAGCAAGTTTTAAAAGATCTCCTTGATCTATATGTGTGGTATTAGAGAAGAAAATTGTGATAATTGGTTATCAAACATTTGATTTCAAGGATAGTCATTCATTTTAGTTTGTTAGACATATTTCAGGGATTTATCATGGTATATTGGGAATCAGACCCGGAGTCCAAACTGGGAAAAATGATTGACAAAACTAAGACATTTTCTTTTGCTGATGAAATGTAAATAATTATTTAAGTAAAACAAGCATAAAATATGCATGAAAACCTAACAATACATACTCATTATGTTACTTACCTCAGCACAAACAAACTGGTAGGCTATGTAGAGTTTGTTAAGATGTTCTAACTCCCGTATAATCTTCTGATACTCCAAATAAGATGATCGCTCCTCCTTCAGCTTACTAAGAGTTGGTGCAATGTCTTCTTTTAAAATCTTAACAAATACACAAAAAAGACTGTTATGTTGAATAAACATTTCAATACATGTACCAATTAAAAAAATCAGACATTTTTAGCAAGTGCAAAAGCATTTACAAAATGTAGATTTAAAAACCAAACCTCACTTTGGGTAAGAAAGCTTCTTCAGAACAAGAGGCATCTTATTTTAAATATTTCCCGATTTTCTGTTGCAGAAGCTATTTCATGTTTTTTTTGTTTCACAAAATTATTAGCATTTGACCTTATTCACAGATTTGTATTTAACTATGGAAGGTAAATGAATTATTAAAGTACTTACCATATCAATTTCTCTTAATTTAGCATCCTTTTTCTCAATGGTTTTTTGAGCTGCTTCCTTTTTACTCTCGTACAATCTAGTTCCTGCTGCCTCCTCAATCATAGACAAAATCTGTAACAGATAAATAAAAACATTATTAATGTGAAACCTGTCTCGTCAGATATACTGGAACACAATATATTGGTCAGAATAGAAAGAATGTCTCTATATGGAAGTCTTATTTTATTAGTGTTATATGAAATGGGATTTCAGCATTAATGTTGCATAAGAGAAGATACCTACAGGACATCAGATTAGACAGGATGTCAGAGGTAAGATTAGACAGGATGTCAAAATAATCAGAGGTTAGTTTAGACAGGTGTCATTGTAATATTTATAGAATATTGTATTACAGAACAGAAAAATAGATAAATGAACCTAGTGATCATTATTCACTGTGTGTATCTTAGAAAGGGTTCTTAATAATAATAATATACAACATTTATATATAGCACCCTATACAATTTGTAAAATTACTCTGAAGTGCTTTACAACATATGGATAATAGTATTAGTTGTAATTGTGACACAAAAACAAAGGCTTACAATCACTTAATATATACACATAAATGAACAAATAAAGGGTGGTATTTACATGACATCTTTGCAAAGAGTCTAAAATGCAGACGCGAAGAGGTGAGTTGTACCTGTCAGATACCAATTTTTCAAAAATGAAATATCTAAATATTCAGAACAGAGTTTAACCCTGCCATTTTATTTACCTCAGGAGGTTTCATATTGAGGACTTTAGTTATCCGCCCCTGCATGATGAGGAAGTGTGGGTTGTTGACATTTAGCTGGACAGACCTGAACAAGTCCTGGACTCGGGTGTTGTTAGCATTGCTACCATTGATGAGATATTTATTCCTGCCACCTATCACAACCTGAAATAAGTAAATTCCTAGTTAAATAAGGCAGATATTATTGCAGAATTTTTGTGTTATTCTGGCATGCACAAGTCCCAGGTAAATTGTGGAGTTCACAGTGTTCCATGTAACAACATAGTGCAATGTCTTTAAAAGCCCTGGAATAGCAATTCTGCTTTGTAAGGTAAACCAACACAACATGCATATTTTTTTCCTCTTTAAGAAATCTTAAAAAATTACACACATTCTTATTGCCATCAATAAAGTATATGTGGTTTATTTTACAACTTTTTTTGTGTTGAAAAATCAAGTTTCAATAAACTCCAGTATCACAAAATTTTGACCAAATTTTCCAAATTTAATTTCATGGATACCCTGTTTTTTTACAGTGTCCAAATCATTGACAGTTCTCAAATTGAAAACAACAGATAGTACTGCCTACCTGTCTTGTGACAGTGAACTCATTATACTGTTCATATCCAAGAGGACTCTGTTTCTTGTCCATGTTATCAAATGTAATGCTGACAGTTGCCTTTGTGATACCAGCTTGACCATTCTTGTACACCAGTTCTTGTAAATTTGTTGCACGCACCTGACAATAAGTAAAAATAAAATATTAGTATATTTTTGAACTTAATGGCAGACCCATAGACATGTACACTCACCTTCCATGAAGTGTTTTCTATTTTTATCTTATAGTACAAATTAACAAAAATGATTGTTTTTAACATTTTTAATGCCACCTCCCAGGATCAAGTGCACTCAAACCTTTGAGTCTAATCCTTGTAAAGGAAGAAGACCATGAAAAACACTGTAGGTCTAAGTGAATAATTTCATTTTACTTCATAGACCAAATTGTCTGTGCACATTAGTAGTGCACATTCATTGATAAGTAACTGTAGTGAGAGAAAAAGTCCTTTGAGAAATTACTTATCTTCCTTTATTATTAGATATTTTCTTTATTCCATGCTATATATATATATATATATATTGAACACCGAATGTACAAGTACAACTTTCCTGTAAGAAATTTGCATCTCATAGACCTATTATCTATGGTGTGTAAAAAAGTCTGAATTATAAGACTTATTTCAGTATGCACAAGACGTTTTGATACTTCCCATTCCATTTTTTTGGAATTCAGGTCGTTTAGGTACTTCTGAAAGTCGTTTCGGTACTTCTGAAAATCGTTTCGGTACTTATGGAAAACATTGCTTGTTTAGATACAGTCCATGTATATTTGATATAAGCACAAACTTGATATCTAATATGTTAATTCCTATAGGAACTCTATCTAAATCAGAGATTTATAATGATAGATTTTCTATCATTATAAATCTCTAATTTAGATAGAGTCCCTACAGGAATTACTAATATATATGTCAGCGACATAAACAAAAAATACACGTGAGGGTACCGCAAAATGAGTTTGTACTGTTATTTAATGATTTATATTTAGAGCTGCTATTCAACATTATATGATTTGGAAAAGAGGATTGCAAAATACACATGACGCTTCATGATGTATCATCTGAAGTACCCTTACATGTACGTCTATTTTCTCTCATCATTTTTTTTCGTTTCGATCGATATGCGGCGTTCGTTTCAATCATGAATACAAAAAATTAAACAATTAATATTATTACATTGATGAATAATTTTATTTCCATACAGGGATAGCATATATTTATACTCAGTAAACAAAAACAAAAATACATTTAAAAACAGTTAACAACATAATTCACATCGTCATTCAATAGCTACTATCATAGCCGAAGATGTGATGAGTTTTTGATAAATTTGATAGTGGAACCCTCATTTTTATGACAAGTTGGTGAATTCCCTCACTGTTGAGTTTCTCCTAAAGAGCTACTCCGATCTACTCAGCTGCTCAGTTAAAAAAGCAAACATTAAATAAACAACCATCGCGTATGTTGCAGGATCACATTTGAAGTATGAAAACAAAGATTGACTGATCTGCGTAATTGTTTAAACAATAAACAACGAATGAAAAATATTTATTAACTAATAAACGAAGTACCGAAACAATAATCAAAATTATTGAAGTACCGAAACAACTTAAATACAAGTACCGAAACGACTTACAAAAAGTACCGAAACATCTTCTTTTTGAAGTACCGAAACGACTGCACCCCGGTCGTTTAGATACCAAAGTACGAAGTACCGAAACAATAATCAAAATTATTGCAGTACCGAAACAACTTAAATACAAGTACCGAAACGACTTACAAAAAGTATCGAAACATCTTCTTTTTTACCGAAACGACTGCACCCCATTTTTTTGTCATGTGTGTTACTAATTTCATATTCGAGAATCTTCATTTTTTTTATCTACAAAACATTCTATATTCTCAATCAGGTATTAAAAAACTCACAAACATACTTTTCATATGCTGTGTGAATGCACCATTGGGTGATAAAAATACAAAATTTGGTATCCGTATAATTTTGCAAAAATTAACCACAAAGCGAGAATAACACCTGATCGGAAACGATAGGAGTGCTGACTATTAAATAAGTTATGATGTGAATATAAAACAACATCACTTTAATAGAGAGATGAAACTACTGTACTAACATGAGACAAATTTGTAATGCCGAGAAGAAAACAAATCGAGTCCAAAATGTTAGACTTTCCACTTCCATTCAAACCCGTGATTGCGTTGAAGAGGGGATCGAAGCCACTGACTTCAGTCCTTTGTGCGTAGGACTTGAAGCCGTCGATCACGACCGTCTTTATATGCATACTGATTTACACAGTTATTTTAAATCGTAGAATCATGCATGTGATGAATTGTTGATGTTTTAAACAGCAGCCCTCGAATCTGGCGCTCATTTATTTATAACATATGCGCATGCGTGACGTCTCTTTGAACCGGAGGTCAAGTACTGGTTCTAAAATTAAAACTGAAATAGGTATGGGCATTATGGTAAAACAATCTGAATAATAATAACAGAATTACAAGTATTTCGTTTCATTTTTCTTTTTTTGATTTAAAATATTTATATGATATAGGAAATACGCATGCTATTGTTCACTTTTATTCGATTTTATGAAGAGGGCTGTTGCTATTGAAGAAGAATCCGGATTCATATACACAGAAATGGTAATGTTTTCTTGATTAGTTCTTACCAAGCAGTGCTTGACGGACATGGCGGACTGGATCACCCAGGGTATTTGTTTACATAGGAATATATAATAATTTTCTTCGTTTTGGGGTTATAACACATGCTTGTCAAAAGAAGACATAAACAAAGTCAATAACCAAGTGATTCAATTTTTATGAATGTGTTTTTGGTCGGAAGAAGGACAGGGATTTATTTGTGGTTTGGGTGTTGCTAACCACGCGATCGTATCTTTGTACCTGTCAACCACATTGTCTTAGAGAATATTGGAACCGGATTCTGACCGTTACAGGATTTGACATTCGCTACCACATATACAGGTAATTTGTGTATATAATTGAGATTAAGAAAACTTCGATTTTGACATTGGAAACCTATTCTTGATATTATATTTAATCTATTTTATTTTCATTATAGTGTGAGTAACATCAGTTTTACAGAAGCACACACACATATATGTTACTGTGCTGTAATGTACCTTAATTTAATAAAATACTAACATTCTTAATACAGCCAGGTGATCACTTCATTAATTTAGATTAATATGAATTAAACAACAAAACAATTATTTTCACATGGCTATAATTAGTATCAAATATGATTATGTTGATATATTTATAAAAAAAGGAACTAAAAACAAGCAAAATCATAGGCCTACAATAAATAAATATTAAAATCTAGATTTATTCATATTTTCCAAAAAAATCATCAATTGTTTATGTTTAGTGGCAGGGAAAGTGACGGGTATATGCTTCATTGATCCAAATTTGATAATTTATACATATTTTTAAAGTGTTACAGTAAACCCGTTTTATGTTTTAAAGTGTTGAAAATTCCGCCAAAATGTTTTTAGGATTTTATTTTATATCTTTAAATAAGTGCTTATTTAAAGAAGGAAACAGACATTCAAGGTGAGATGAAATGACTAATGTCATGACATATTTTACAGTGAATGAATACAAAATTGTTGTTTGAAAATGAATGGCTTAGTATAAACCTAATCTGTAAGAAAGTAGATTAATCTGCTTTCATATCAAGAGCTTTTCACTAGAGTTGGAACGATTTCCTTGTATATAATCAGGCTATTGGCTTTGTACATGTTTGTTGACTTGTTACATACTGGTCCACGGCACTTTGGCATATCACTTAAAAACTCTCTTCAATGTATTAGTACATACATGTATATAGGGAGGTTTGCGTATGACAGATCACTTTAGAAGCCGTTTTTATCCTGGTAAAGGAGGTATACACTCCAATACATGTGTGATAGATCTCATTTTTGTAGTGCCGGGTTTAAATGGTCAAATATAATGTATAAGACAAATATTGATTCTATATTTATTGATTTTATAGGTGTAACAGACCATTTTAATTGAAGTTAATGTACAAAGTGAATCAGGTTATAGAGAGGAAAAAATGCTATTATTTTTTTTAGCTCTAAAGCCCATTGTCCAAATGCCCAGGAAGGTTTAAAAAACACTTACAGTTACAATGATACTCATGTACATTGTAGGCACCATCTGTCAAGAGAGAGATTTTTCCCAATCATAATCAAATCAACTACAGTTTTTAGTTTCGCCTAAATAACATGTTGTCTAAAAGAAAATTTGCTTTTCCTACTTCTGTTTCAAAGATTTTCAAGTGATGTATGATTTTATTTTTAGTCCATCACCATACCATGTCATCAGCAATGGTGGGAAATGGATATCAACAAAACTACAACACATATAACGGACAGCCCGCCCCCAACCAGGGACAAAATGTGGTAAGATATTTGTTATATTACTGGGTGGATGTCAAAACTAATTTGTGGGTTTTTTTCAGGAATATTCATCTTATGACATCATTTTTCACATTTTACATAATTTTCCTTCTTTTTTATATGATATAACATGATCTATATTTCAGTTCAATTGGATTTTAAATTGACTTTACATTGTCATCTTCGATCGTTTTTTTAATGTAACATTTTAACACAGAAAGTTGACTAGTTAATTGAAGAAGCCCAGCTGATATTAAGGTGTTACATGTTTAGTTCTCTTTCTTAATGTGTACACATATTCTGAAATATTTATGTATATTCTTAGTTCCCTCCTTGAAGTAATTCTTCCTCACCTAAATGTTGTTAGAATATTGGCTGTTTGCCAATGAAATGTATCAGTATTGGTTAATTGTTGAATGCTTATAAGGACTGTAATATATCAATGTTATATATACACTTACAATTGTGAAGGTTAAGGATATTTACAAACTCTGTGTACATTATCTGTCCCCAAAAACATTCACATGACTTTCTTTGAAAATTGTTAATATATAAGTGGCAAATATCCAGTATGGTGAAAAGTGTTTTCTGAATCTGGAATATTTTTTTCAATCTCTGGCATTTCTCCCTGCTCAATGAATAAAGTATATGCCTTCGTGATCTTGGCAAGATTTCAAGTTGCACAAGGCTGAATTTTTCATTCCCACTATATACCTACATATCAATATACCTGCCATATAAGTTATAACAAACACGGGTACCATACAGTAGATTGCTCTGTTTGTTTAAAATATTTTTCAAAACTAATCAACTCAAGGATTTATTTTTCTTATTGGTTGAAAATGTGTTTCTGGTACATAGTACCACTTTATTAAAAATATTAATTGGGTAGTTAATGAAATCAAAGATATATTTACCAATAAATACTGTTAAATTGTACCAGCTGTGCAAGGGACTTTGCAGAAACATAAATTATCAAACACTGGTATGAAAAGAATATACCTGTATGTTGAATTTCTTACAAAAAGACTTAAAAGATAATTTAAATTTATTAGATACAGCATATATCTTTCATAGTGTACGTACATTTGTTTTATATTCAGTATGATATAAACAGTTCCAGCTAATTGAATTAATAAAGTACAAAACTTGCTTTGATAAGTATGTGAAACTAATTGCTAATGGACAGTTATAGATGAGGATTTTGATAAAACAATTCAATTTCTCAGTCTAAAATCATGTTTTGACATGAACATTTGGTTTGTAAATGATTGTACGTATTTTGTCAAATATATTTTTGATTTCTAATAGTTACTATCATAATTTTGATTGATTGAGTTGACATCGGTACTACATATAACTTTTCCCTTTCTCTGTGGTAGTAACAAGTATTAGTGACTAGTTATTTACCAATAGATTATAACTACAGAGCTAATAACAAGTGACTAGATGGTTTACCAATATGTTATAACTACAGAGCTAGTAACAAGTGACTAGATTGTTTACCAATAGGTTATAAGTACAGAGCTAGTAACAAGTGCCTAGATGGTTTACCAATAGGTTATAACTGCAGAGCTAGTAACAAGTGACGAGATGGTTTACCAATATGTTATAGCTACAGAGCTAGTAACAAGGGACTAGATGGTTTACCAATATGTTATAGCTACAGAGCTAGTAACAAGTGACTAGATGGTTTACCAATATGTTAAAACTACAGAGCTTAATAACAAGTGACTAGTTTAATTTACCAATTTGTTGTAACTACAGAGCTAGTAACAAGTGACTAGATGGTTTACCAATAGGTTATAACTATGGAGCTAGTAACAAGTGACTAGATGGTTTACCAATATGTTGTAACTACAGAGCTAGTAACAAGTGACTAGATGGTTTACCAATATGTTATAACTACAGAGCTAGTAACAGGTGACTAGATGGTTTACCAATAGGTTATAACTACAGAGCTAGTAACAAGTGACTAGAGGGTTTACCAATATGTTATAACTACGGAGCTAAAGAGAAATTCCCTTTCTTCATGGTAGTAAAAAGTGACTAGATGGTTTACCAATATGATTTTAAGGTTATTTATTTGGCCATTTGATATAAATGGACAAAAATTCGTGAGAACTGAAAATATTTCTTAAAGACATTAAATGTTTTTTTAATTTAACAGTAATTAAAGCAATATCAGTAACTAAAGGTTGGTAATTAAACTTGACCTCATTGATTAATGGGCCCAATTCTTGTTTAATCCTACTGCATACAGCCGTGTAATACATACAGTTATAGGCTGTGAATTATCTGTTAAATCTTGGATATAGGCATACTTTTGTTGATGTTAAAGATAGGTTTCAAATTAAAACCACACAGCCTTTATACCTGTATTGTTTAACGTTGCTATTCTGTCGTACATGGTGTTGAGATGAGTCGGACTTTTAAGAATTTGAAACCCATCGAAACATTAATATATACATATACACTAGATAACAGTGTTCACAGATTGTGCAGGTATAGAATTTGTAAACAGTCAAAGGTACCTAATAGATTTAATGGAGATCTTTTAAAACAGGTCTTGAAATATGAGAGATCATGCCGATTTACTGGTACTATTGTAGGAGCTACTAAGGCTAAACCCCACATCTTGTTGTTATTTGTTCGTTCGGTAGCAGGCAGACAAAAGCCATTCACACTGGATTCTATATAACATTGAGATGGTGGTTTAAATCGTACACCTGTATATATGTGTGTGGACGTTAAGGTCGTCAGCTCGTTCATATGACCAGATTTGTTGTCATTGACAACCAGAAGACACATTTGTACCTCAGTGACGGGCCACTATCAGCACCTCCATCAATTGATCGCACGTGACGAGTCAGTCGGGTCGCGTGTAACATTGACATGTGTCCATAGAACCTCACTGAAGTTAGAATGTTCAGTTTATTTTGGTCAGTAAATAATAAATTTGACAAGATATACATTTGAGGTGAACATTGTAGTCACACCTGTATGATAGATCTACTGGGGGTTATATATAGACTCTGTACCTGTTGCTATGTTTCCTAAACCGCCTTCCAGTATATATATGTAGTATAACTTTGAAAGTTGCTTCGAATGTTTATCATTAATTCTGTAAAACTGAAAATAAATTAATTCATGTCATAAAAAAGAAAGAATGCAGTTTTATTTGTTAAACAAAAACAATTTTGGGAAGAAAATTTCAAGTTAGTATTTAAACACCTTTTTCATTACAATATGAACAATAATTTACTTTTCTTTGATTTTTTCAATTAACAAAAATATGATTAAATGGAGTCTTTCTGCCAAATCATATCACATCTGGACAACATTATTTTTTTACATGATATCTTGTCCAAATTATCATAAACTTCCATGTTTAGTATTCTAATTCATCATCTGAGAATATTGAAGGCTAATATTTTGAATTATCATAAAAAGCTGTACAAAAGGCCACTGTTCTGATCATGGACAACTGACAAATTGTGTGAGAGATAGGTTGATAGAGTACATTATCAGCGCTACGATTTGACACAGAATAATACCCCGCATTGTTGTTGACATTAACCTGTATTTGTATGGGGATTTGGCGTATAGGTTCCCTATTTATGAGATATAAAATTACCTCTTGTTCAATAACCGGTAACCACCCAATCACAGTGTGTATTCATAATCCAGTGACTCCAGGTCCAAACTGACACTAAAATCAATTTGTGTGGGGCAATCCTAATAATATTATATTTTATCTTCGTACAGTCATAATTAATACATCTACTCAGCCGTTATTTACAGAATGATAGTTTTATTGACACCAACTGCACACGATCATCGGTCTTTGTAACCATTTGTATGATTTAATTCAAAGGAATTCAATACTATTTTACCCTATTATTTTGTTGAGCAATGCTTTCTGGTTATTTTTTCCTGGCCAAATGTGATTTGTGAATAATACATACATTACTTAAATTTAAATCTTTGGATTAAAACATGATTTAGTTTATTTTATTCATGTACAATTAATGTATTTGAATCGACATTCACGATTGTTTTTATTCAATTAATGATACAGCATACAAGGAAGGTTTCAGACAAGGAAGAGCTCTTCTTGCTTATTTTTTGTAACCTTGTTTCGAGTGGCCTTCTGCTATCTTTAGAACCTCAGGATCAGTTAACGTAACCAAAACATTGCTGTGTATAATAACACCATTGTGCCTGAAGACTACTTTCTCATAGATTACAGGATCTGCTGAAATCAAGTTAACTCAAATGGCTACAATTCTAAATCTGCCTGAAACCTGCAGCTCCAGCTTTATAGAATGCAGCATATTGATCAATTATCTATTTGTACTGGGTATTCTAAGTTTTGAAATGAAAATACACTCATTTGATTATTAATTTTTTTTTTATTTAAAACAAAAAATAACATCAAGGATTAGCATTTGAATGTACCTTCATCTGCCCTGGTACGATCCTTCCCTGTTACAGATGGCTACAGGTGTGTTGAGCAATAGTGATGAACACCACCAGAACATACAGGAATTCCTAGGCAGTCAGCGTCAGAGGGAATATAATCAAATGTTACAAAAGGTTAAAATTTTAAAATACAATTGTAGATTAATTACACATTTATCTCTAGTCTAATAGTAGGTCAGAATTTACTTTCTTGCTTTGGCTTCAAACAGAAATTATTTCACATTTAAAACACCTCTTTTATGAAGTTTGCTTTGCTTATAGGTATATACTGTTACATTGCAGAACTTTTCAAGGTTACTTTCTAAAAGTAATCAGATTTTAACCATAACATACATGTCAAGTGCTCACCTTAACCAAAACACTCCCCTTTTTGATTATTTCTCCCTTTCCAGGAATAATCTCTTGCTTGTATTGATGTTCTCCTTGAAATCTTTACCTTTCAAAGAATTTCTTCCCTCTGTCTCCTCCTTTTTCGACTTTCTTTCCCTGCGTCCCCTATTTTTGAAAATATTTTCACCTTTCATTTATATACAAATGATATAATAATATATACTTAACTTATTTGCCATGCATTACTCATAATATCTATTTGTATTACCATGCGAGCTGACAGCATGTCTTAAGTGGACTCTGGCCAAAACAATGTAGTCCTGACAATAACCATTTATAACAAGTAGATTCTATATACTTGGTTACTCTACAAACCAGACACATAATGTGGTCCTGCGGCTGTCCAGTTTAGACAGACTACAGTGTATACATGTAAAATATCCCCCCAAGTGTCTGATCAGAGTGGGAGGTCTCTCCCTTTTGAAGGTTGACACTTATGCCATTATCTCTAATTTTGCCTGAGAATGTTTAATTTGATATTGCTTTAGATCTTAGACTTACCTTTCGTTAGAGGCTTGTAGATTTCTGCTTGCTTGATACCCACATATATGATATAACCAGGACAACGTTGAGATGTTGAGATGTTCAGGGTTAGATGTTCAGGGTTAGATGTTTCATTTGTTTGAAGGACAAAAGAAAAATTTCTCATTCTATTATATATAAAATGTCCATACCTCTTCACAATTATTCAGCCAGATTAACGATAACCAAGGGGTCTCAGTTTCCAAAGTTAATTAATATTATTCAATGTAATTGGTATCAATGATTTAAACATGTTGCCACAAATTGAGCAATTTAAGTTTGTAGATTAAGGAAGAAGAAATGAATAGAATGGTGTCATTGAAAAAGGATACTGTGTTTGTCCTGTCAATTGTTATAAATGTGTACCGATGCATTTACATTATTTATAATACTTGTATTCATTTTTATTTTTTCTCCAGTATGAATGAAAATTTAATAATTTGTTTTTAATCTAGATATATTCTTATTAATATCCTTGTGTATATATGAATACTAATTGTTTTTATTGATATTTATGAGTAATATGATATTTGAATACTATTTATGAATGTCATTATAACCTATAGAAACTAATGATAAATGCCTGTACCTTGGTATGTACAGTCATATGTATCATACAAATGTTGATAAATGCATGCGTTTACCTGGTAATTATATAAACATTATCATTTACAGGTACCATTTGTATAGAATAAGAATACTTGGTTAAGTAAATAGGTGCTTTTAGTAGTAAATTTATATGGACCAGTGCTTCAGAAGATTTTAAATATGAGGGGATCTTATTGAAATCTCAAGGTCAATCCACACCCTTATAGACCATATATGAAAGGAATGTTATTTGCTGTTGGATTTATTTTCTGGATATTACATCATTTGAGAACCTGTTAAGTTGTAAGTACATGTCTGGGACTTCTACCATGTTTAAATCATGGTAAGCCCTGTACCATTCATCAGTTCTATAGATTTTATGAATAAAAGTCAAACCTGCCTTAGAGACCACCTGTCTATAACTACAGTCAAACCTGCCTAATAGAAACTGCCCGTCTATAACTAGTCAAACTTGCCTAAGAGACCACTTGTCTACAACTACAGTCAAACCTGCCTTAGAAACCACCTGTCCATAACTACAGTCAAACCTGCCTTAGAGACCACTTGTCTACAACTACAGTCAAACCTTTCTTAGAAACCACCTGTCTATAACTACAGTCAAACCTTCCTTAGAAACCGCCTGTCTTATAACTACAGTCAAACCTTCCTTAGAAACCACCTGTCCATAACTACAGTCAAACCTGCCTTAGAGACCACTTGTCTACAACTACAGTCAAACCTTCCTTAGAAACCACCTGTCTATAACTACAGTCAAACTTGCCTAAGAGACCACCTGTCCATAACTACAGTCAAACCTGCCCGAGAGACCACATGTCTATAACTACAGTCAAACTTGCCTAAGAGACCACCTGTCCATAACTACAGTCAAACCTGCCTTGGAAACCATGCACCTGGCTATAGCTACAGTCAAACCTGCTTTAGAGACCATAATCATGTTAAAATCTACCACTTGTCTATAACTATCACCTGGCTATATCACTAAGATATATGTAGCTAGAAGCTACTGGTTAATAATTCTGTCAGTGCACCTGTGTTTATATTAACCACCTGTCTATAAAGATCAACTGTCTATACAAACCACCTGTTTTTGGTTTTCTGCTATATCTGGCCTTTATAGACAGATTTGACTGTATTCAGGGTGTGCCCTAGAGATATATAAAGATGAAGTTCGGATCCTGACATCCTGTGCTTATTTCATTCATTTTCTGAGGGCTAGCTTTACAAACAAATGTAAAGTTTGAGACTAAATTTTCCAGACACCTTCATTCCCAACAGAAGTGGCTAGATTTTAAGATGATTGGATTTCAAGGACAGTTTTGCATCAATAAAGGTCAATCTGTCCCTAAAAACATGACTGGATAGTGGGACAACTGGTTTAGTGGTGGCTGGATTTACAATCCCTGGCTGTAGTGATTATACCTGGGCATGTCCGAGGTGAACTATGGTACACTATAGTAGATCACTGGTGAGCAGGGAACAAACCAACCCAGTGGCTTCCAGGCGAGACATGTGTAATTGTTTGACCATTCAATACACAATGTATTAAGGGACCTAATTAAGAAAGATAAATTAGAATTGTTTATACTTTGTATTGTGTCATCATGATTTGGCCGTGTTAATTATAATGTTTATGAGGGTTGTAGTGTTGTAGATATGGTACCTGGTAGTAGTGGTTGGTGTTAAACACCTTGGTTTTGCCTGAATTACGGTGTTTGTTCTCTGTACCTAATCTACCTGGAGTCGTAGATCCGCATTACGTGCAGATCTATTTATGTAAGCTTAATCAATGACAAGTTAAAAAAATCCTCCAATGTTTGTTTTAATCTTGTTTTATGTGACGTGGAGTGACAGCCTATGGATAGAAACCTCTGAGGTATCATAGTGTATGAGTATATGAACCAGGTTTATCAAACATTGTTAGGTTAGACATATTTTTTAAAATATTAGATATTTTTTTTATTTTTTATTAGACCTCAAACCTAAAATGATATGACTTGAGACTTTTTCTAATTAAATTAACAGGTCTTAATAATCTGGATCCAGTAGCATGCATCACTGAACGGTATAAATTACAATACATCTGCCACTTAGCATTAGGTTGCTGACATATAATATTAACAGATGTTCAACTCTTAAAAATATTTGACAACTTTCCATAAACCCACTTTAGCTCAAAATTGATTGTCACCCATAGGCCCAATTGACTTTAGCTCAAAGTTGTCACTTATAGACCCAATAGACCTTAGCTCATGCAATAAGCCTTAGACCCAATGGACCTTAGCTCATGCAGTAAGCCTTAGACCTGCTTCATTTAAGCTCATATGATCATCCTTAGACCCATGTGACTTAAGCTTACAAAAGTCTGTATGGACTTGACTAAGGTCCATGTCTTGTTTGTGAGGTCTAAGAGTGTTTTATGTAAGTATTCCAGGAATCACTCTCTTTATTTCATTTTCCTCTTCAACTTTGTTGTTATCTTTTCCAGTGGAAGTTCATGAAGTTGTGATATCAACATTGTCACTTTTTGATACTGACACTTTTTTTGGAAAGATTTAAACATATTCAACTGGATTGCTATCTGCTGTCAAGTAGCTGATTGATATATTGAAAATCAATTTCAGGGTTTAGTTAACGTTGGCTTTCTAAAGCCCTCCAACAGACGTTACTGTAAATTAAGAAATTTGGCATTAGCTTTTCCATGTTTTATTTTTCATTTCCTTGAAAAGCAAAGTGCCATGTTAATTCATCCTGTAATATGATTTTAAAATTATACCTGTCTCTTACCATATAGATAAAATATCTCCAATTTCCACCATCAACGTTGAAAATATTACAGCAGGATATTTGCTGTTACTTATTGACCATGGTTTTGACTGGTTCTTGTTTTATATTACGTACACAGCAGGATGGCTATCATGAACCCCACCCATCATCAAGACCACCAGCCAATGAACAACAGTATTACAGTTCGTCCCCATCGCAGCCACAAAGTGTTCAGGTAGAACAACCAATCAAAAACCTTGTCTTATCCTCACTGCATTTCTTTAATCTCCACTCCTAATTTTCTTGTGATTTTTGACAGTTTTGTGAGACTTAACCATAACAGAAGCAGTTTGAATTTTAAAACCAACTAATTGTGTATAGAATAGAAAAAATAACGGAGTTGTGTTTGGATTTGAAATAATGTTAGAACATCATATAGAAATCATTTATTTTAAATCAAAAACTGATTTCAAAAAAAAAAAATGATCCTGATCTCAGTGAGAACTATAGGATCTGGATTAGTAACACACTTCACTAGTGTGTTTTTCATCATACTCTAAGGATTTATATTTCCGTCAGACCTGTTTACAGGAATTCCCAGATCATTGTCCTAAAATCACACCACTTTATATAACAATGTCACACCATACATGGTGGTTATATACATTCGTATTATTTTGTACCACCTGTGTTTCCCATTACTCATATGTCCTGTAATCATTATCCCACACTCACTGATTTTTCACATCGTATTTTGTTTCTATCTTTCACCCTGTCCAAAACCATGATGAGCACGAGGATTAATTCTGCTAGCTAAACTTTTTATCACATATCCTCTGCTTTGCATTTGTAACTGTCATATCCCTCTTGCCATTGAACTACACAGTATACTACGATCTACTATGATCTGTTTATTACTACAGTGTCGTTTTACATGTAACTGTCATATCCCTCTTGCCATTGAACTATACAGTATACTACGATCTACTATGATCTGTTTATAACTACAGTGCCGTTTTACATGTGACTGTTGGGGCCAAATTTTGGTTTTGCTTTGATAAGCTGTTTACAGGTTATGGTACCATACAGATATCAACAGAATCTGATGAAATAGACAAAGAGATAGAAATTGAATTTTATTAAAAGAAATTGTAAGGACCCAATTAAACTTTTATTGCTGTTTATTTGTTTTCACTAAATTTTGGATTCCATTGTTCAATGTCTAATTTGCAAGTTTTGATATAGGTTAAACATTTTGTAAATGATGTGTTTCTAACCATCATATGTTGATTTAAGTCCCTACTTTGAACTTAAATGACAAATATAAACAGTTTTGAAAAAATATTACATGGAAGTTTGATCAACCTGAGACTGTGGCCTATTAATACAGATTCACTCAGTGTTTCTGTTATTATGTACAGGGTTTTATGTCCTTAGAGCATCTCATATAAGGCTGTATCAGAAAAGGGGGCCTAAGCAGACACTGCTGAAAAGAGAGAAAAGGGAGATGCTGGATTCTACAGGGAGACCACGTACATTGGTCACCTCTGATGTTAACATGTAATGGAATACATCAGGTCTATTCTTTAGGGAGACCACGTACATTGGTCACCTCTGATGTTAACATGTAATGGAATACATCAGGTCTATTCTTTAGGGAGACCACGTACATTGGTCACCTCTGATGTTAACATGTAATGGAATACAGCAGGTCTATTCTTTAGGGAGACCACGTACATTGGTCACCTCTGATGTTAACATGTAATGGAATACAGCAGGTCTATTCTTTAGGGAGACCACGTACATTGGTCACCTCTGATGTTAACATGTAATGGAATACAGCAGGTCTATTCTTTAGGGAGACCACGTACATTGGTCACCTCTGATGTTAACATGTAATGGAATACAGCAGGTCTATTCTTTAGGGAGACCACGTACATTGGTCACCTCTGATGTTAACATGTAATGGAATACAGCAGGTCTATTCTTTAGGGAGACCACGTACATTGGTCACCTCTGATGTTAACATGTAATGGAATACAGCAGGTCTATTCTTTAGGGAGACCACGTACATTGGTCACCTCTGATGTTAACATGTAATGGAATACAGCAGGTCTATTCTTTAGGGAGACCACGTACATTGGTCACCTCTGATGTTAACATGTAATGGAATACAGCAGGTCTATTCTTTAGGGAGACCACGTACATTGGTCACCTCTGATGTTAACATGTAATGGAATACAGCAGGTCTATTCTTTAGGGAGACCACGTACATTGGTCACCTCTGATGTTAACATGTAATGGAATACAGCAGGTCTATTCTTTAGGGAGACCACGTACATTGGTCACCTCTGATGTTAACATGTAATGGAATACAGCAGGTCTATTCTTTAGGGAGACCACGTACATTGGTCACCTCTGATGTTAACATGTAATGGAATACAGCAGGTCTATTCTTTAGGGAGACCACGTACATTGGTCACCTCTGATGTTAACATGTAATGGAATACAGCAGGTCTATTCTTTAGGGAGACCACGTACATTGGTCACCTCTGATGTTAACATGTAATGGAATACAGCAGGTCTATTCTTTAGGGAGACCACGTACATTTGTCACCTCTGATGTTAACATGTAATGGAATACAGCAGGTCTATTCTTTAGGGAGACCACGTACATTGGTCACCTCTGATGTTAACATGTAATGGAATACAGCAGGTCTATTCTTTAGGGAGACCACGTACATTGGTCACCTCTGATGTTAACATGTAATGGAATACAGCAGGTCTATTCTTTAGGGAGACCACGTACATTGGTCACCTCTGATGTTAACATGTAATGGAATACAGCAGGTCTATTCTTTAGGGAGACCACGTACATTGGTCACCTCTGATGTTAACATGTAATGGAATACAGCAGGTCTATTCTTTAGGGAGACCACGTACATTGGTCACCTCTGATGTTAACATGTAATGGAATACAGCAGGTCTATTCTTTAGGGAGACCACGTACATTGGTCACCTCTGATGTTAACATGTAATGGAATACATCAGGTCTATCCTTTAGGGAGACCACGTTCATTGGTCACCTCTGATGTTAACATGTAATGGAATACAGCAGGTCTATTCTTTAGGGAGACCACGTACATTGGTCACCTCTGATGTTAACATGTAATGGAATACAGCAGGTCTATTCTTTAGGGAGACCGCGTACATTGGTCACCTCTGATGTTAACATGTAATGGAATACAGCAGGTCTATTCTTTAGGGAGACCACGTACATTGGTCACCTCTGATGTTAACATGTACTGGAATACATCAGGTCTATTCTTTAGGGAGACCACTTACATTGGTCACCTCTGATGTTAAAATGTAATGTAATACATCAGGTCTATTCTTTAGGGAGACCACGTACATTGGTCACCTCTGATGTGAACATGTAATGTAATACATCAGGTCTATTCTTTAGGGAGACCACGTACATTGGTCAGCTCTGATATTAAAATGTAATGGAATACAGCAGGTCTATTCTTTAGGGAGACCACGTACATTGGTCACCTCTGATGTTAAAATGTAATGGAATACAGCAGGTCTATTCTTTAGGGAGACCAGGTACATTGGTCATCTCTGATGTTAACATGTAATGGAATACAGCAGGTCTATCCTTTAGGGAGACCACGTACATTGGTCACCTCAGATGTTAACATGTAATGGAATACATCAGGTCTATTCTTTAGGGAGACCACGTACATTGGTCACCTCAGATGTTAACATGTAATGGAATACATCAGGTCTATTCTTTAGGGAGACCACGTATATTGGTCACCTCTGATGTTAACATGTAATGGAATATAGCAGGTCTATTCTTTCCCAAAAACTGTAGTGCTTAAAATTACTCACTCTGCCATAATTACAAAACTACAGTTAATCGCATGCAATGAATCTATGGAAAAATTCACTTCATTTTGAGTTCAGCCTCTTATATAGAATGCAAAAATTCATCTATTTTCAGTAGATAAGAAAGTTTGTGATGACTATTTCTCCAGAAGTTCTTACAGTATTTTCTCAGATTACATATGTAGGTGCCCTTGGTCCTTAGTTATCCATGTTTTATTTTTAGACTGATGAAAGAAAACAAGATGGCTGTGAAATAGACATCTTTGATTTTGACAGTCCATGTTTGTTATATTTCTGTTCCTCAAGAAGTACTAAGGATCTTTTTAAAAACTTCATATGTAGAGTCCCCTTGGTCCTTATATTAGTTGTGTATGCTTTATTTTAAAGAATTAAAAATGAAAGGACGCTCTCAAACCCAGCTGTATAGAGTTTTAATAAAAAGTTATCACATAATGAATTTACTGTTGACAAGAAGAGGAAGATCAAACGTACACAGAACTAATGATAAGATCCTACGATGGTCAGTGCCAGGATCCCTCGAGGATATCCTTATATCTGGTAAACAGTGACCGGGGCCTGCCGTTGGTCAGTGCCAGGATCCCTCGGGGATATCCTTATATCTGGTAAACAGTGACCGGGGCCTGCCGTTGTTAATGTATTGATTATACTGCTGTATTCCTAATGGAATGATGTCTATTTTATCGGTCCTAGTTCCAGAAAGTTATGGTTCATTGCAGAACTTCATTAATAATTCAACATTTTTGTTTCAAACTCAAACACCGAAACCTTATTGACACAGTGTTTCTCGGTTGATATTGGAGAAGTTATCTCAGGTATGTAATGTTTTGTTTTGTTTGTACAACTTCTGCGGCGATGTTTCACGTAGCTAGGGTACCTTATTCCTAACAACATACAGTTGTTTACAGGTTTGTAGAAATGATTACAGCTGACATTTCATAAACTGGCATACATCTACCCTTTTTTTTAAATGCAGGTATTTGTGTTTAACTGAACTAAAATTTGATCGATTCCTCTAGATACTGGATTTATTGAGCTTTACAAACCTGTTTATTCATTTCACAATTAAGGTGTTTGGAGAATTTATGTTCAGTAACAATTTATGAAATATGCTGACAGATTAAACAAGTTCCTGTCATGCATGTCTAACTTTGTGTCTGTGGTCAATTATTTCATCCAAAATGTTAACCAAACTTCTTTTAAATATTCTTTTAAATAAGATACTCAATGTCATAGATATGGCCAAGGTTAAAACATGGATGGTCAGGGTCTGACTGCTGTAAGCATGAATATAAATGTTACCAATGGCCCAGAGTTCATCAG